TAGCAGACGAAAAATAACTTAAATATATGTAGAATTTGGTATTTAGTTAAGAGTAGCATATCCATGTTTATTTCATCTTGACAGATGTACTTTCGAGAATATTATGAAATAGAAGTATGCAGAAAATTTCTATACTATCTTATCAAGTTTTCTCTTGATCTGAATTTATTCCAAATAAAAATTCAATTAAAAAATTATTCATTTTCTTCTACCAAAATGCTAGCAGTTTCAACTTAATCATCTAGTAGTCAATTGTCCTTGAACAAACCACCTTTCTTCTCTTTCTTCTACCCTTCAATAGCAATAATACCTCTGGCCCAGCTGCTTGAACTGCAAGAATCTAGTGCATGGTCGTTATGAGCAGTTTTACTAAGAATTCACCAAAAGGGAGACAGGAAATATCAATGTTGGCATTATTTTTAAGCAGTATCAACAAATGCAAGTATGCTAGAAATTGAATTAGCATAAGAATAAAATATGTATCTTTAAAATGATGCTACTTATTAGTTACACCTATTAAAATTTCAATGAAATTGGTTCATTCATGTAATTTTTTTCAAAACATGTTGGTAAATACTTCCAGAATCGTAATCTTGTACTAGTAACCCAAAGCTTAAAAGTTTATTCTAAAATTAAAATGATATGGAGAAGCTTTGCTACAGATAATGCACTATCATGTGAAACAGTGAACAACTAAAATATTCAATAACGGTAAGCTTTAGGATGTGAGGAGTAGCCTGTGTACATGGATAGTGGATCAGGCCTCTCCCTTTTCTCCCTGCTAGGCATTGTGTTTTGCAGACTTTAGACTTACATCAACCACATGGACACAGGGAGCAGTTTTGTATACTCACATATTTATTGGTGAGCAGGAAGAATTCCTACGGACCCAGGTTGATCAAAAGAGCAACACCCCTGAGTCTGCACCAAAATAGGACTCAGGTGGCTCTGAAAATTCAGTGACTGGTCTGGGAACCCATGGGCCCCCTTGTATTGCAGAGGGGTTGATGCCAAGGCATCCCATAAACAGCAGACTGAACCTAGCCAGAAGTGGGAAGGGCACTTTGTATAAACTTGAGAGTCTTCAGCATGTTTAGAGAAGCACTGTGCTCCTGGGCAACAGAGTGAGCTTTGCCCTACTCCCTCTGTTGGGCAGCAATCTTTGCAGACTTCAGACTTGCAGTGATTTCACTGTATAAATTATTCCGAAGTCTTGCTAAAAGGTCATTGTTCCATGACAGTATTTGTTTTTTCTCCAAGACAGATGAAGATGCAAGGGATTATGCTTTCCTAAGACGAAGGTTTAGATATCCCTAATAAGACTGCTCCCTGCCACAGTTCTCCATATATGAATGGGAAACGTGTAGTATTTCTCACACAGTGCTATGCAGTTGTGGGTTCAGCTGAACCCAGAATGATTTCCCCCTCTGGCACTGTTTCTGTCATAATTTTGCCAGATATGTCTCTCTTTATGTGACCCTTCCCTCTAACCTGGTATTGGCTAGGATACCAGTTAAGACCTGATTAAAATTTTCTCACTCCTTACTCCAGTAACCAGGAGCTCTGAGTCTTTCAAAAATAGTTCTAAAAGTGATTAGAAGTGGTTGAATTTGGAATATATGTTGCAAGTTGATTCCACATGATTTGCTGATGGACTGGGTATTATGTGTGATACAGACAGACCAAATATGCCATCAATTGACTAGGTAGAATACACTTGGGGATAAAGGTAAGACCAGAAGGACAGCCTTGGACTTGTTCAGTGTGGGAAATTAACTCTTCCAGTGAGAATGCCATGGAGACAATTGGATTTCCACATCATAGCATCAAGAAATAAGTCTAGGCTGGAGATATTAATTTGAGAATCTTAGTCTTGTCAAAATAGTATGTCAAGAAAAACTTCATTAAAAATGCAAATGGATTTATTTTATAGGTGAAAAATGAGCAAAGGCTATTAAATTTAATGTCATATGGGTCATTTGTTATTCCTCAGAAAAGACTTTCAGAAAGCCTTAGATAATGAAGCATGAAACAGAAAAGGGCTTATAGAAAAACAGAAAGAGAGAGATGAGAGACAAGCAATGTAGAGATCTCTTGAGTTTTGCTGCAAAGGAGAGGACGAAAAAGCCCACTAAAACATTAACTCTTAGGTGGACTTGCCTCCTATTTCACTGAGAATACTTAATCCCTCAAGAAAGAATGTCTACTGGAGCTGGGGTTGTGGTTCAGTGGCAGAGCACTTGCCTCACACTGGGTTCCATCCTCAGCACCACATAAAAATAAATGAAATAAAAATATTGTGTCCATTTATAACTTTAAAAAAATTAAAAATTTAAAAAGAACATCTACCAACCCCAACAGCTATGTCTACTGATTTGCCAGCATCTGTCCACTTAGGTCCTACCTGTGACTGTACAGGAATCATCTGTGTCCCACTTCAAAGCCAGTGATGCCACTTGACCTGTGCTTGGGACATAGGTTTCTCCTTTTTGCTCACACAAGGGCACTGATCTAAAACTTCCTTTAATGTTCTTCTTTCATTTCCGTTTTCCTTATCACTGGATAATTTACAGTAGCAAATAATCAATCTCTTATCTTAAAAAAAATCTTCCTGTGACCCCTACTTACTACCCTGTGTCCTCTCCAATTTTCTCCCTTGTAGTCTAATAGAGTCTCTTTGATGCCACAGCTTCCACCAGGCGACCAGCACACTGGTTTCATTAAAGAGGTTCGTGGCATAAAAGTTAACTAGTGAGATCAAAATAAAACACACAGACTCAATTACCTTTTTCTATGACCAGGTCCAAAACGGCTCTCACCTCTCTGGCTCACACCTCAAACCACCCGGTAGGGCAGCAAGGCTTACTCAGGGCTAGCAGGAGAGAGAGAGCGAGCACAGCAGGGAGTGGCCTTTTATTGGGGAACAAGAAATTCAGGGGAAAATTCCATCCAATGAAGGTAGGGGTGGGGGCAGCATTCCAAGGTCAGGGTCAGTGATTGGCCTCAGGGTCAGTGGTCAGTCACACCCCCACACGGACAGGCTCTCACACCTGGAGAGGGTGGGGAAAGCTCCCACACAGTTTTGCCAGAACGCCTCACACCCAATCCGGGAGGTGCCCAATCATGTGCGAGAATGGCTTCCCACAACAGCTGTTTTAACATAAGGATTAAAAACTAATAATATTGTCTACCAGGGCCTTGTCTGCCTTTTAATCTCTCACCATGTACCACAGCCCCACCCCAGCTGCAGTGCACTGATCACCCCACATTCTTCACTTCAGGCTTTTCTTTGCATAACATTTTCTCTTCCAATGGGTATGTCTGAGGGTGGTTCTTCCCACATTCAGATTTCAGCTTAGAAATTCCTCTCAGAAATTTCCCTTGCCAACCTCCTCAGAGGTCCCCCGTCACCTTTGCACTATTCCATTACAATTTTCTGAGCATGTAATTTTCTATGATTTTTTATTTTAATTTTCATAATTTGTCTTCTGCACTAGCATATAAGATCTGAGACATAAGGTACAGCTCCTAGTAAAGTATCTGAACTTTATACAAACTCAGCAAATATCTTTCAATGCATCTTGAAGTTACAAATACAGTTGGGGATTAACAAACTACATGTTTATTGCACATAACATATTTTATTTCAAAATAAAACTACTTGAGTTAAGTGTTGCTTTATTTGAAACCATAACTCATGCTGAAATTATTGTCTTCACATGTATCATGCATATTTGTTTTAATAAGGAAACAGTTCGCTAAATCATGCTAGGATCTTAGTCTTCCCATATACCTCATCAAGGGAGGTGGCTCGAAACATCGTAAGTGTCTTTTAGCATTTTTCATAGAATTTCAGAGAAAATGAACATCCATTGGATTTGGATATACATATCTTGAGGATACAGGAAAATCATTTTCCCACAGTTAATAAAATAGATCTAGGTAAGTATAAATAAAAAAAAACAATAAAATGAAAAAGCGTATACAGTTGCTTTCGTCCCATAAAAAATGTATAACTTCAAGATATAGACACTTGATTTTAAAGCACTTGACAATTAGCGGCTAAAAGTAGTTGAGAATCTTGGCATACTCATGGCCTCTGTATAAAAGCACTCTAACAAATAAAAAATGAGTCCAAAGGGACAATTGGAAGAGGGCCAACTGGGGGGATTCTAACCCCCAAAAATACTTATAAGTATTTGTATTCCTCACTTATTTATGCTTATTTTAAAATATTTTAAACTCCTTAGTCTTTTTTGGAGTTGGAATTATCCAATAATATTTATTAAGCACATACAGGGTGGCCAGGAGTGTTCTAACCCCTGGGGTTATGCACAAAGGAATAAGAGAAATCCCTCCATTGACAAGAATTATAATTGGGAAAGGGAAAAACAGAACATGGGTCTCCAGAAGTATTTTCAGGTACCATTTGTGATTGGAGATGTTGAGAGTACAACCTGGGTGGAGAGTGAAGGACAGCTGAAGGGACGCTCTGGGGAAAGTCACCAGGAAATACCCTCTCTTTTATTCTCAAGTAGGAGTTCATTTATAAATAGGAAATAAAATTTTTTTTTAAAAAGTCAGGGACTCAACCAAGCAAAGGCTTTGGAAAAGATCATCTCAAAAAGAAAAATAAATAAATTAATTAAAAACCCTAAACTTGGGAAGATTAGGGTTGTCCAAAATAGAATTTAATTTAAAATTGTGCGTACTTGCTCTTGTGGGGAAGATGAGATAGTACAAAATGTACCTGTGTGAGATCCTGGAGGTATATCCTGGTTGTACAAGACATTGTAGAATCTTGACATCTTGACTTGTTTTTTTTTTAAGAAATGGATTCTACTGTCATGTGTAACCAAAAAGAGCCAATAAATAAAATAAAACAAAGCATCTGTTTGCCTGGGCTGAACGGATTGGTGTTATGGGGATGTTTAGACTCCCCTGGCATTGTGAGGCAAATTTGTCCCTTGGTCTGTAATTTAGTGACTACCCAGGGTCCCTCATTTCACCCATAGTTTCCTCATGGCATGTTTCACCTCTGCATTCCTCAAGGTGTAGATCAAGGGATTTAACATGGGTTCAACAACGGTAAAGGACACAGCCATTGCCTTGTCTATGGGGTAAGTGACCACAGGCCTCACAAACAAGAAAATACATGGCACAAAGAATAACACCACCACAGTGAGGTGGGAGCTACAGGTGGAGAGGGCTTTGCGTCTTCCTTCAGAGCTATAAGACTTCAGGGAGCAGAGAATGACCACGTAGGAGGCCAAGAGGAGAAGGAAGATGGTCATACACATCACCCCACTGTTGAGGATGACCAAGAGACCCAGGACGTGGGTGTCCATGCAGGACAGTTTCAACAATGGGAACAAGTCACACATAAAATGATCGATGATATTGGGGCCACAGAAAGGTATTTTATACATGAAAAGAAGCTGTATGGTTGCGTGCATGGACCCACCCAGCCAGGCCCCTCCCACCATCAGGTAGCACATTCGAGGACTCATGATGCTGGTGTAGTGCAGGGGCTTACAGATGGCCACGTAGCGGTCACAGGCCATCACGGTGAGCAGGATGATCCCCACACCACCAAAGAAATGCTCTGCAAAGAGCTGGGTCAAGCAGCCTTTGAGGGAGATGGTGGTGCTCTCAGAGAGGGAGTCCACAATCAACTTGGGGGCAATGAGGGAAGAGTAGGTGACATCCATGAGGGACAAGGAAGTAAGGAAAAAATACATGGGAGACTTCAGACTCTGACTTGCACTTATGGTTACCACAATGAGGAGGTTTCCCAGTACTGTGACCACATACATGACTAGAAACAAACCAGAGAGTATTCGCCTCAACTCTGGGTTCTTTGTAATGCCCAAAAGGATGAATACAGTCACATTGTTTGGATTCTCCATTGAATGTAGTCTGAGGTCAGCGTGTCCCTCTGAACTGGAAAATCTGCAAAAGGAATATTAGTTTTGATTAGCAATCACTAAGTGCTCGGGACATTTTTGGCAAGTTTTCTCATTCTTTCTACTTTATCTGAGGTGCTCCAAAAGCAATACCATTTTAGAATTGAAATATACATCAAATCTAAACAAACCAACTCTTCCATTAATCAAATAAAGAAATGCTTAAAATTAGTGTCAACATATTGGCAATGGAGAAAATAGTGTGCTCATGGTTTATGATTTCAAATCTTTTAAAAGTAATTGTCTTAAATTCAATGAGTTATGATGGATAGACTTCTAGAGCAGAACAGTCACAGTAGTAGAAAAAATCACTTATATATACATAAAGTTATTTAAGATTACTTAAAATTAAGAGTACTGTATCCTTGTTTGTTTCATCAAGATAGATGTACCTTTCATAATATAAGAGGAAAATATCAGGAGACACTGAGTGAGAGGCAGGTAGGAATTTTCTACACCCTCTGAGCAAGTTTCCTCTTGATCTGAATTTATTCCAAATAAGAATTCAATTTAAAAAAATGTTCATTTATTGCTACCAAAATGCTAGTGATTTCAACTTCATCATGTAATAGCCAAGTGTCCTTAAACCAACTACCCTGCTCCCATCTTCTCTACTGGACAACAGCAATAGTACCACTGGCCCAGCTCCCTGACCTGAAGGAATCAAGTGCGTGGTCATTATGAACAGTTTTACTAAGACTGCATCAAAAGGAAGGTAGAAAATATCAATGTTGGCCTTATTTTTAAGCTGTATCAACAAACATAAATAAGCTGGATATTGGATTGGCATAAGAATAAAATATGCATTTTAAAAATCAGGTTGTTTATTAGTTATGCCAACTAAAATTGCAATGAAACTGGCTCATTCATGCAATCCTTTTCAAAACATGTTGAAATACTTCCAGAATCATAATCTTGTGCTAGGAATCCCAATCTTAAAATTTATTCTAAAATTAAATGACATGGAGAAGTTTTATTACAGAAGATAATGCAAGACAGGTGTGGTGACACACACCTGTAATCCCAGCGGCTTGGGTGGCTGAGGCAGGAGGATCACAAGTTTAAAGCCAGCCTCAGCAACCGTGAGGTGCTAAACAACTCAGTGAGATCCTGTCTCTAAATAAAGTACAAAATAGGACTGGGGATGTGGCTCAGTAGTCGAGTGCCCCTGAGTTCAATCCCCAGTACCAAAAAACAAACAAACAAAAGATAATGCATTATCATATGAAACAGGGAATATCTAAAATACTCAATAAGAGTAAGCTGTTTTTGCAAATCAGACTATTACACGTTAATTTCACATGATGCTATGAATAAAGAATAATATGAGGATTGAAAAGGTAACATTTTGCAGTATGAAATGTGTGTGTGTGTGTGTGTGTGTGTGTGTGCGCGCGCGCGCGCGTTAGTTATTGGGAATTGAATCCAGGAGCGCTTTACTACTGAGCTACATCCTGTCCTATTTATTTATTTGTTTGTTTGTTTGTTTTGAGACACGGTCTTTCTAAATTGCCCAGGCTGGCCTTAAACTTGTAATCCTCCTGCTTCAATCTCCTAAATCGCCAGGATTACAGGTGTGTGCCTTTGTGCCTATCACAGAACAAAATTTCTAATGACTTTTCCCATTTGTACAGATATTTCAAATATAATTTTACAACCTGTAAGGAAAAAATATAAACATGATAGAGATTTTAAATTTACAATACAAATTGTTTATGGTTAGAATATTTTAAATTGCACATAAATTTAAAAACACAGCAGCAGATTCTTCATCTAAACAGTTCAGAAAGAAGAAATGAAATTTGAAGAAAATTTGTTTGCAAAAGGTGAAACTAACATGCTAATGTTTAAAAGAATCTTATATTGAAATTTTAAACTATTATAAACTTTTTTGTACCTTTATTCATTTGTTTTGATATAAATTTTAAATTCACATTCTATTATATTCTGTTCATTTTTCTCATTAAACTTTCATGGCCTTTTTTTTTTCTGGAAAGCCACAACCTTGAATATGCTGGAGCTTCCTTAAATTGCTCAGGGCCCCCTGGCAGCATGAACTGTGGTCTCTGGGCCATCTCCTAGGAAGGTGACCTGGGGAAGTTTGCTGGCTCATGCTGCACTGCCCACATTGCCCACTGTTTCCTTCTTATTTGTTTTAGTCAAAACCTATTATACCACCCATCCTTCTGGAAATAACAGAATTTGTGTTTCAAGTTGAAGCACCTATAACATTCAAACCCAAAAGAGGGATTAGGAGTAACTTCATTATTGTAAGTAGTTCTGTGTAACTCTATTCAACCAGTAACGTTCAGATGTATTTATATGTGTGTGTTATGTGCGTGTGTCAGTCACATTTTCTTTACAATTCTAAATTAATGATTTCTAAATAAATATTATTACAAATTAAAAGAACAATTTACAAATCTGATTGGTGATTATCCTACCTGCAAGTTCATTCAATCCACCATATTTTTTGATTCAACATTATTATTTACCAATAAAAGTTTTATTTCTCATTTCTCTCTCTCATAGCATATTATTTTTCATGACTACCAGGAAAATATGTTCCTTTCACATTTCAGTACTTTTTGTCTTTCTTCAATGTACCTCTATTCATTTCCCTAATGTCTCAATGTTTATACTTTTATTATTTCTGGATTTTGAAAAATGAAATTCATCTCTCTGTTTCCACCTTTATTTCCAATGAATGCATGAGCCTTCCTTTCTGTTGTCTTACTGGCTTAGCTCATTTTAAGGGAGAGACCAAGAAACAGCAACTAGCATTAAAGTGGTTTAGAATTCTAGCCACTGTGATCTTTCCTGAATGATTCTCAGGCAGGAACCTAATGCTACTCATGACATCAAATGCACATAAGAAAAAAGTTAAATGGACAGAGTTAAATCAGAAGACTCTACTCTGTAACTTCAGTACCTCTTTCTTACCTTAGTGTCTTTCCCCATTCCATCTGCCAATGTGTGGATGTAGAAATAATAAATAACACATTCTATATCAATAACTGTGGGAGGTATGGTAGAGAGCACTTGAATTCACCACAACCCTATATCAGCATTCGTTATATGGCCTCAGAAAATTCCATATTTTAGTCTGAAATATATGGATGGGGAAAACATTAGAAGATAAAGGATTAATAAAAACACATTTTAAAAGAACAAAAAACATGCTGTTGGAAACCTAGGACAAATATGTGCACTTGAAACATTTCAAAGTCACTTGGATTTGACTTGAAGATGAAATCTAAATACAGTTCTAATTTCATTAGTTTTGAAGGAATAGGTTCTCCTAACAACACCACCCCATCTGGACAAAGATTAGATTCTTTTAAAATAGCTGCTATTATTGTTTGTTGGGGAACTTTTGTGTATCAAGTGCTGTTCTCTGGGCTTCTCCTGTATTGTTTCATTTGCATACACATTCTTTTAGCTTGGAAATGAGGCATCTGTGAGCCAGAAAAATTAATAAGCCAGATCAAGTACACACAGTTCTTGACAGGCCCTGCACAGTATTAAATATGGTACCTGGTCACAACACACACACTTTTAAGCACTACATCATAGTTTAAAATCCTCTCTGAAAATGCATATATCTGAATTAAGAATCTCACCACGATCAGTTCCTTGAGAATTCCTGTGATAATAATTTCCCATGTTCTATGAAGAAAAGTCCCTTCTGTAATGGCAAAAATGAAAAGGTTGTTTCCAACTCTTCATTCTGCATCTAAGGGCTAGAGGAAGAGCAACCCTGGCAGTCAAAAGGGACAGAGTTGTCACTACTGTTTGATGCTGCCTTCAACATGTCTCAGAAATAAAATAAAGAAGCAAAGCTTCCTCCTTGATTTCCACTGGAATATAAAGAAGTTTCCCTGAGAGATCACAAACCTGTACATATGCCTCTCATAAGCCCACGGGACTTGGAACTTTTTCATCAGTATGACTTTCCATGACAAAATTTTGTGCAGTTTTACACTTGCTTAAGTATTCATAAATCTCTTATGTCCCAAATATTGTTTTTTTCTTTCTTTTTTTAATGTCTGTATTTTCATTTGAAGATTTTTTTTTTCATTTCCTGCCTTGTTCTAGAATAGAACACTGCATACAATAGGATAGAGCAGTGTCCCTTTGCGTCATGTCTGTGCTTTTATTAAATTTAAGATCTGGAATTAAAAAAAAAAGATCTGAGTTCTGAAAGAGGGCAGCATCTATTCATAGGATGATGAGTATTGCATTGGCACTGGGGTGGTAAAGAGTGCTTACTAAAGAATAACACATATGCATATGGAAAGATTTGTGATTTTTAATCACAGAGTACTCTCCAAAGTTGACTTTGAGATTTCATCATTTTAAAACTTAAAACTAGAGATTAATTTTTCACTTTTTAATTTTTTTTTCTTTTTTGCTTCTATTGGTGTGTTATAGTTGTACATAATAATTGAGGTCATTTTGACATAATCTTGCATGAGTGAAATTTGATTTATTCCATTTCAGTCCCCAGTGCACCCTTTCCCTTCCCTCCTCTTTCCCCATCTTTCCTTACTTCTACTCTATTGGTTTACCTTTCACTTGTTTATATATTTTTAATTTCAGGGATTGATATACACAAGGGTGGGATTTACTGTGGTATTTCCGTATATGCACATTATGTAATTTTGTAAAATTCATTCTCTAAATCCTCCCTTTTCCCTTCACTCCTTTCTCCCCCTCAATCACCTTCTACTCCACTGATCTTCACTGTTTTATGTTATCCATCCCCCCCCACTTTTCCCCTCATGCTGCTCTAGCTTCCATATATGAGAGAAAATATCTGACACTTGATTTTCAGAGTCAAGCTTATTTCACTTAACACAATATTCTCCAGTTCCATCTCTTTACCAACAAATGCCATAATTTCATTCTTATTTTTGGTTGAGTAATATCAATTGCATCTATAGCCCATT